GTAGTGACCAGCCACGTAACAGCCAGGCCCCTACATGGACTGCACACTCACCGTTATCAAAAGCAGCCCCCAAGGAGCAGTAGGAATCAAAAGAACAAAAGAGATGCAGAAATGGCCATCTACCCACCCCTCATAAACAAAGACGTACGTACCAAAAGAATGAAGAACATAAAGAACACAAATGTAGTGAAATAAATTGGTCCCAAAATTCGATTAGCTTCTTCAACCTCTGTGAAGTTGAAGTCTCCCAAAATGATGCGGAACTGAGTAAATCTTAAAAAACAAAACACACATCCAGGAGTTGAAAAAAATACACTTTTGTAGCTGTGCAAGAATTCTCCATCTATTTTGCCGGAGCAGTCTGACTGATGGGCAGCAGACAGGTCTGCGCTACCGTAACACTTTATTGGGCACTGCAACATGCAATTCCTCAAGCTCATCTCTAGGCATCACCAGACTCACAGACAGATGCCACACACACAAAACAAAACTAAGGCAGTTACTTCTGGCTTTCAGTCACAGCTGACAACGGGGACAAGAGGAAGCACAGCAACCCAATGCTTACCACTGTGAAGCTTTAAGACCCATTCCTGTCCCTCTCCTGCCCCTTCTGCCCAACAACCCCAACCCTCTCCCTGTAAAGCTACCTGTACAGTGACACAGCTGTCAGAGGTTTGGCACTGGCCAGCACCATCAGCATATTTCAAGTTACTCCACTTCTCTACAAGAAACTTTTTGCAACACTGCCCTAGTGTAAGGGGCAGGGGGAAATCAGTAACTGAACCCCCTGGTTATTATCTGTTAGAATCAGGTTATGTTTTACCAAAACGACAAAGGAAAAAGTGATTAGCAACCCAACATGAAGTCCTGTCTCTCTCCTGGATTCCAGCAGATACTTACAAGTTCACTAGTTGGCTGGCTAAGACGGACTTCGTTTGTGAGTCAACCAACTACACTTACTGGCAGGAACACACTGAAATGTTGTGTGCATAACAAATGTGAGTGAGCATATAATCATTCAGCTGCTGAAGACTATGGGACTGGTTTGTCTAGGAATGTGAACAACTTAGAAAAACCAAGTCACTTCCACCATCCAAAACCTGTCAATTTCAGCTCACTGATCTAGCTATAGTGTATTTTTAATCTCACAGCAAAGACAGGCTTTGAACTAAGTGTTACAAAACAATGCATTTGCTCCTGAGCTACATCAACAGTGCTATGTCTGCAGCTTATCTCTTTAGATGGATGTCATCAGATTAGCTCGGTCTCTGATGAGGCAACCAAATCCATTTACCAATGTAGTGAGAAATTCTTTGCATGTTTTATTCTTGTACTTACATGCAGTCCTGGAAAGTGCTGAAGTCATCAATTTGAGTGCCAAAGACAAGGTAGGCCAACTGAGCATATGCTAAGAAAATAATGAAAAACATAATAGCAAAGCCAATGACATCTTTGACGCAGCGAGACATGGTAGTGGATAACTGACTCATTGTTCTGTTGAAGTTAACAAATTTGAAAAGCTGTTAAAAGAAAAACAAAAACCAAGAATTGTAATGACAAGAAAGACAACAGTTTAACATAATCACTCTCCAGCCTTTTACCTGTGAGATGTCTTACTGAATTTGACTGGAGACAGTCAGTTAATTTATATTTAGAAACAATGTCACTTCCTAAAAACACTGAGGCTTAAAATGTGAAGAAAATTCTATGAGAATGCCAATTTCTTGTTTGGGTGTAGGGTTTTGATTGTTGGTTTGTTTTTTTGCTCCCCTATTTGGCACCCTGGCTACAGAGCAGTGTTACTGAAATGCTTCCCAAAGCCTGTTTATTTATCTTCAATTAAGCTGTTGGCTATGAAGTAGCAAAATGCGAGACAAGATCTCACAGCTGACTTTGCTACGAGCAGGTAGTTGGACTAGACACTTTCCAAGGTCCCCTCCAACCTGCATTATTCTGTTACTCCGAAGTTTACCATTATTCTTATAATAAGCCACTTGGTGTCTTAAACCATGATGCAAAAATTAGATGCAACTTTATCTTATAAAACGGTAAGGGATTAACTAACTTGCTTGATAAACCTAAGTATCAGCCTGGAGTATCAGGGTAGAAATTCACTGACAATTGGCCTTACGTTTTCCCCCACTGGACAGTTTATTAACTAAATGTTCCTCTGCAACTTTATACATACAGAGGACAGGAAAATGAGTACGGACACAAAAAGAAGTTGTATTGGGTTTGTGTGGTGGGGTTTTGGTAGCAGGGGAGGAGCTAGAGGGTTGGCTCCTATGAGAAGTTGCTAGAAGCTTCCCCAGCTCCAAGACAGACCCCCCTCTGGCCACAGCCAAGCCAGTCAGTGATGGTGTGATTAACATATATAACATGGGAAAATAAAAAGACAGCCAGCAGGACAGACAGAGGAGAGAGGAGTAGGATGTCAGAGAGAGAACCAGATAAACACCCAGGTCAGTGCAGAAAGGCAGGTGGAGATGCCCGGAGCAGAAGTTTCCCTGCAGCCCATAGTGAGAGGGCAGGCTGTGCCCCTGCATCCCGGAAGG